TTCATCTGCTTTTGGTCCGCCATTTTTTTTTATTTTTCTTTTTGCAAAGTTAAGTAGAAGACATCCTAAAGTGGTTGAAAAAGACAGGTATCCAGTGGTTACCTCCATAGCAGCAGCATTACACAGAAGTAGAGTCACAAGAAGCTGATGTTGCTTCTGAACAACAGGAAGTATTGTAGCTGAAAAAGATGGAAAAGCAGAAAAGTTGATATATTGGTAAAGATTCATCCTAATAATTTTCAGCATTTACAATTAGCCCATGAACCATACATCCACCCATTTCAGATATACATTGTCCTAAGAAAATGCTTCCTGAGCCGAGGGTCTAATGAAAACAGGCTCTATATCCTCACAAATTAGGGGCAAGGTCTGCACACACACTATGCTCTCATATACCATGGGTGGGACAAGACTGGGTATGTTGTTGTTGTAGTAGTATTGTCCTAAAAAAAATGACCAATTCTCTTTTACCCTCCAATGAGCAAATGACATAGATTAATACAAAATGAAATGAATGAAAAAGAAGATACCAGCTTGTTTTTTCTCAGAGGGGGTGCCACTTCGTTGAAGGATCTCAAGATCGACGAGACCCAAAGACATGAGGCCCAATGTCAAACCGGACATAATGCCGGCGAAGAGTACTAAGAAACAAGAGATACCAGCGTAGAGGAACCATGACACCGTCCCAAATGCTATTTCTGCCCCCAGGCCAGGGACGGGGCCGTTCGAATGACACCTCGTTGCCATTCGAACAACTGCCGCCGCATTAAACAGGTGCATTTTTTATTTCTCTTTTTCCTCCGCCAACGTCCTAACTGTGTCGCTCTGTCTCCTCCTTGTACAATTTGTACTACTTTTTTGGATCACGGTAACCTCGTGAATAGTCGGAGGAGAAGGTCAAATCAAGAAAATTTCTTCCCGCTGACATATATAAAGGTAAAATTATACTAACCGTTAGTTACTTTTGTGTTCCTTCGACAACTTAGCTATTTTCCCTTTTTCTGTTGTGATCATGTGACAACTGTCACATTCCTAAACTTGTAGACTGTGAGACAACTCATTGTTATTTGATCTATGTTATAAACATAATTATATTTAAGGTAAATGTCTATATTTTAGATAGATTTTAGGGCTTGTTATTTTGTAACTAAGTCAATTTTCCTCTATTCTATTCTATTGTAATTCATCTCAAATCAATAAGAATCTCTTTCTACTTTTCTCTGCAATACACTTCTTCTTCTTTTATTGTTTTATAGCACGAGACTCTAACCAATAGAGTAGAGGGAGGTTGTTTCAATTTGTAGACATATTATTTTTTAGTTGTCTAAAGTTATAGAAATTAAATCACCCGTTGAGAGAAGATATAGGAATTTGCGTGAGGCTCTTGAGTCAATACATTAATATTCCTATACTAGGCATATGTTTCGGTCACCAGGCTTTGGGATACACGCATAATGCTCAATTTGTACATAATATTAAGCATAATAATTGCCAATTAGTCCATGAGCTTCTTTCAGGAATAAATTCTGGACTTTTTTTTTTAGCAAATATTGCCTAGTGGCTAATATATAAATAAAATTCCAAAATGAGTCCAAAGCTTACAAGATGTCCAAAACCAAAATAGAAGTTGCATGAAACTACTAGCTACTAAAAAGATAGAAAAGCTAATGTCTAATAAACTAGCTATTACAACATTGTTCGTTAAATGCTTCCTTCCCCTGTCAGTGCATGTGAATCCAATTGCCAGTGGCAAATACCACGCAACACCTATCAAGCTCTCACCAGGCGCCAGGGTATCCAGTCCATAAGCTAGAATAAATTCCAAACATCTCCACCACAGAATTGAAGCCAGCATAGTCTTCCAATCATTAGTGTTGCTACAATATGATCTCCATAGGCAGTGTACTGATTCTATCCAAGTATAAATCATGTGGTCGATCCTCAATATTATCATGTAAAAGAGCATGGCTACACATGTCTTGAAGCTGGCTTTAAGCAGGCTTTGCAAGACAAAAGCCAGGCCGGGGCTGGCTTTAAGCAGGCTTTGCAAGGCAAAAACCAGGCTGTGGCTGGCTTTAAGCACGCTTTATGGTAAAGACAATAAATTTTGATTATAACTTTAATGGAGTTTGTGAGAAATTATAAGCACCCCAAGTGGTAAAATTGTTATGTCTTGCCATGATCAAATTCATGTATGATTATGAGCACAAGAAGTGGAAACCCGTCCTATTGAATTTGCTTCATTCTCATTCCCTTAAGAGAATATGGTAGCAGTATGTGATAAGTCTAGAAAAAGATAAAATTATTACCATGAAGGTATCAATAGATGTGAACGTAGCAATTGACGAAATTATAATCGTCATCATTGTGGTAATGAGAACAATAAGAATTCTCAAAATAATCTTTCACTCTTTGAAAGTAATGTTTGCCATCAATTTGACATGAGATTTTGTAAAGCACATATAGATTAATATGGTCCATTCATGATGTGAATGTGATAACATGTAATTTATGAATAAATATTCATTCTTGGAAGAATATGAACGTGCTAGTGGTAGTGAATCTGTTACACTTACATCTAGAAAGAGGTTTGAGATGAAATAAGAAAATAATTTTATTAATATTGCATGAATGGTCATTGACCACGTGCCTACTATGATTATGTCAAAATATTATGGCAATGTGATTATTATAGGGCAAAAGTAATGGAAGCAACATATCTTGCCTATAACAATTTGACCATGACAATAATGGTATAACTTTCTCTTTGAAAGATATATTACCATATGGATGCTGATGAATATGTGGTAGTGCAAAATTAAGTGAGAGCTCTGGAAGAGCCAATTATACTATTTTGGAAAAATAAAATTAATTATCATTAAGGTATTGTGTTATAGTAAGTCTCAAATAAACTTATTGAGTTTCTAAAGTATTTGCGAAAACAGTTGGTTATATTGAGACTATAAATAAAGGAAAGATTTAATATCTTCTATTACTACAACTTGTAGCGGGGTAATAGTATGTAAAAAGTTACTCGCTTTATTATTCAATTTGTACTACACAAATAAAATAATACCACAATAAAGTAGAAAGTTATTGATATAAAAACATATATTATAATAAACTTGGAATTTATTGATAATTGCACACTCATGGTATAAACCTATAGTTTATCAATATTGATAATTTATCCTGTTGGCACAATTTGTTTAATTGTGTTAATTTAAGTATGATATGCAAAAAAAAAAAAAAAGAGAATTCACATGGGTAAATATTATAGAACAAAAGTTATGTACGAATTCCCTTATGTTGTTTGTTCTCATTAATTGATAGACCAACTAGAATTGGGATTGAATCAGATGAATCCTGAAAATATCAAAGGTGAATATAGGTCATTCAGTTGCTATGTATACCACATAAGATGCATCTATGAGATGGTTACATGTGCGATTATTTTTAATCTGCAACATGATGTTTGCCAGATAACTTGCTCAATAACTTAATTTAGAGCATGTTCCATATTTTTTTATTCAAGATAATTCATCTGGATAAGTTGGTTTACATCACAATTGGTTTAGCAAAAGAATTTATTTAGTGACTCAATTTAATAGCTAAACTATTGCTTATGAGGATGAAGTTATCTAAATCAGTTTGATATATGTTATATACGAAAGTACATGACATTCTTCTCTCAGAAGTGGTTCAAGGCCAAGAACCAAATAATTCCATCTTATTATTATTTGATGTGGAGTGTATATTTTAATTAACACCATAACACACAAAGGTGGGTTTCCAAAGTTGCGGAAGCAAGTTAGTTTTGTAACACGAGGGAGAGACATGATAAATAGTTGAGAAAACGTTACTTGGAATGAATTATCATTTGTACATCTAGATCCTCGAATAAGATAATATGAACTTGAAGTTCATAAAAAGATAATTCATCTGCAATATATTGCAAATCATGCCAGGCACATTTTTTGATCCAAAGAAAGTAACTATATTCTCACTACAAATGCTCCTATTAGAATAAGTCTTAGAAGGACAAAGTCTATAGTACGCTTAAAGCGTATAAACAAATCAGTTTCAAATAAACTTGACAAAGAAAATTATCATAATAATAAGGCAATTGATCTTGAAGATCACATGACATAACACTTCATAAAATTTCAGAAAAGGTTCAGGTACCTAAAAATATGAATTAAGAGATCTCTATGTTATGTCTTTATGAAAGGAGGTTGGAACCAAATATTCGTCGACTACATCTATGATAACGCTAAATATATATATATATATATATGAGGATCTTAAGTCTAGAGAAACAATTCAAGTAGAATTGATTTCATATGAAAAGCATGACTTGAAAGTATAAAGTCAACAGAGTGTGCAATTACTTTTATCTATCTTATATGTCTAGCATGACATATGGCTTATATGACTTGACTTATATGGCAACATCTGAAGGATCTAAATCACTTGAAGCATATACAATTCTTGGTCTTTAATTATCACATCCTAAATGCAATTTGTGAACATATATATTTTGCTATAACTATAAGCATGATAATGTGATAGCGAGAATTTTTACCTCTATGGAGATATTGAAAAGGCCATTCCACAATATTATATGAAGACATTAATATCTATAAAGAATGATGATTTCAAGGTGCAACATATTCATTCAAGTTAATATGGATGATTTATTTATCAAATCTCTACCAATGATCTTTCAATTGTGAACATATATATCTTACTATAACTATAAGCATGATAATGTGATAGCGAGAATTTTTATCTCTATGGAGATATTGAAAAGGCCATTCCACGATATTATATGAAGTCATTAATATCTATAAAGAATGATGATTTCAAGGTGCAACATATTCATTCAAGTTAATATGGATGATTTATTTATCAAATCTCTACCAATGATCTTTCAAAGATGGTGCACAAGATTGGAATGCAAAGACTTAAATATCTAATTTCATGTTCTCACAAGTGGGAGTTAATAAGCATTGTACTCTTTTTTCCTTATAAGGTTTTGTCCCACTGAGTTTTCCTTGCAAGGATTTTAACGAGGTAACCAAACTAAACATGTGTACTCTTTTTTCTTCACTAGAATTTTTTTCCACTGGGTTTTATTTTAGTTAAGGTTTTAACAAAGCACATTATCTGTTGAATAGACATTCAAGGGGGAGTGTTATGAATAAAATTGTATTTAAGATGAATGTCTATATTTTAGAGAGATTTTAGGGTTTGTTACTTTGTGGTTAAGTCATTTTCCCTATAAATAGAGGGGTTATATTCTATTGTAATTCATCCCAAATCAATAAGAGATGCTGGGTATATAAGTAGACATGCCTTAGACTAGTGATATGTTTTAAAGTCGTATGGGCCTAGGCCCAAAGCGGACAATATCACTAGTGGGCTGGATTGTTACATGCATGATCAACCCCGTAGAAATAAGTTGCACACGTTTGCTAAATATATTGCTAGTTTTGTTTACTTAAGCAAAAGAATGTTTATGTAAATGTACTTTCAAAGATAGATGGAATAAATCAAAGTCTTTTTATTTTTATCTTATTTCATATCCGAATGATAAGTTAATTTACTTAATCATTTGAAAGTACGTTAAAACATCAAATGCTTTGTAACGACCCGGTCGGTCGTTTCATGAGTTACCGCTCCGTTTTTCCACTTTCTGCTTCTTATTATTTTGTTCAGCTGTATTATATGTTATCGGGTTGATTGGTTCGGGTTTAGAGAGGTTTTGGTAAGGTTTGAGATACTTAGTCTCTTTTGAGTAAAATTAAGTTGGAAAAGTAAACCGGATGTTGACTTATGTGAATAAGGGTTCAAATGTGAATTCCGATGGTTCGAATAGCTTCGGGAGATGATTTGGGACTTAAGAGCATGATCGGAATGTGTTTTAG